AACTCCATTTCCTAAGGAAAAAAGACCACCCTCTCTTCAGAGAACCGTTTTAGAATGCTGCTCAAAATTCAACTGACAACAGATACACATATCTATTCCTGAACTGTCTCTTCCTTCACATTGATTTAGGTGTCTATCTATGCCAATACCACACTGCATTAACACAGATACAGAAAAAAAGGAAGTGGACCAGACAAACAGCATCCATCTCATTCACAGTGAAGCATTTCATTCTCATTCTGAATATTAATTCATGACAAAGACAACTGTTCAGCCTTATGCAAATTAACAGAAAGGAATGATGTAGTTTTGTAATTTTTCTATCATATGGAACTACACTGGAAAATGGTAAAAGTCTGCATAATTATACTATTAGGAAAGGTCACATGAACACACATCACACAGGTCAAACCAAGTCACTGAGTAACCCAAGTGTTATTTCCAACTGGCTTTCCAGGAGGCTCCCATGGATAATCTTACTAATGTCCCAGCCCCTTGAACTTCTTTGGTGTTCAAGTCAGCAAGCCTTGGAATGATGTGGGAGGTCCTTCTGTGTGTGTTGCTTTATTGGTTGATGAATAAAACTGTTTTGGCCAATGACTTAGCAGAATAAAGCCATGTGGGGAAATCTGAACAGAGATATATAAAGAGATTAGACAGAGTCAGGGAGATGCCATGTAGCTGCCAAAGGAAAAAGATGCCACCAGAACTTTACTGATAGGCCACAGCCTCATGGTGATACATAGATTAATAGAAATGGATTTAATTTAAGATGCAAGACCTAGCTAGGAAAACACCTAAGCTATTGGCCAAGCAGTGTTGTAATTAATATCGTTTCTGTGTGATTATTTGAGTCTGGGTGGCAGGGAAACAAAAGATCAGTCTCTTTAATATTGGAATCTCTACCAAGCCCTCATGCTCATTCATAGGTGGCAGTGGTGATACTGGGACTCTCTGCCACTTATTTATAGATGGCAGTGGGGTTGTGTTGTAGAGGCAGAAGGAACACAAGTCTTCATTTCTCTAGGATAAAGGACCAGGATGACAATCCCTGAGTTGTATCTCTGTGCATGTTCCATTTGTTGAGACGCTGCCAGGTTGTTTTCCAGTGGGGCTCCACTATGCTACTCCCACTAGCAGTGGAGGGGCCAGGGTTCTGGTTGGCATCGGCATCTTTTAGCCAATGACCAGATGCACTGTAATGCTTTATTGCGGTTGGAATGTGCAGTTCACTACCAATGACTGGCGCTGAGCACACTGCCACTTGCTTTTCGTCACTCATGTATGTGCCTCTTGAGTGAAATGGTTCTTTACATAGATACGACAAGGCTGTGGCCTCATGAATTCACAGCAGCGGCAGTGGCCTATGTAAGAATGAGTCCGTAAACTTTCAGTCCTGGTTTGGGAAGCGCATCAGCTGAGGTGGGCTGCTAGAGGAGAGGAAGCCATCGTCTTTAGTGACAGAGCCACTGCTGGGTTACTGCTGCTCTGGTGGGGGCTCTACACCCATGCCACCGTGGGTGGCTCTGGCTAAACCCAGCAGCAAAAACAAACAAATGAGACAGGTAGACCGGGGACTTGAGGGATGAGGCTGTTGAAGAGGGAGGAGGGTAAGAGAGGGTGTGACCAGAATGCATTATAGACATGCACTAAAATACTGAAGAATAAATCAATGACAAAATAAAACCAAAAAACCAGAAGTATCCCTTTATGTGTTTGAGCAATTTCTGATTAGACATGTTCATTGCTGACACTTGAGCATTCTTGATACATTTTAGGCACCGGTACATTGAGGGACAAGATGTCTCAAACACATTCAGCTGCTGTTCTGAGGAGCGTTTCATTGTCCAGGTTTCAGAGTTGTAAAGAAGGCACCTCAAGACAAGTGTCTCATATACTTGTAATTTTGTTGTTATCATTGTGTCTCTTGCTGACCAAACCTTTCCTAGTGCCTGGAATGCAGCCCTTGCTGTCCCTAGCTGCCTCTTGATGTCTGAAATAGTTCCCTCCTTTGAACTGAAGTTTCCTCCCAGAAAGTCAAAGTTGATTGTTTGCTTGAGGTTCTGATTCTTTATTACAATGTTTAAATTCTTGGTGCCCTTCCCAGATGTTGTACCTCAGCCTTCTCAGTGTTTACTTCCATACCAAGGTTTTCACTTTCTTCCATCACTCTGTTTACCAATGGCCTGCAGCTCATTTGGACGTCCAGCAAGTAGTGCTGTATTATCAGCAAAATGCAAGTTATTGATTTGCACGCCACCTAGGTGCATGCCTATCTCCTCATCCTCCAGAGCTGTTGCTATTATTAATTCCAGGATTATATTAAAGATTAGTGGCGAGAAGACGCATCCCTGCAACACTCCTACATTTATCTTAAACCGATCACTTATTTCAGGTCTCAGGAGGAGTCTAGGCATCAAATGAAGAGATAGGCTGTGCAACCATGACATTAAGAAATCTCCATCTACAGAAGGAAGTAAATACGTTGGGTGGCAAATCTGATAACTCTATCCTACATGCTGAAGGGTTTCTCTTATTTTTCCTAAAAGTCTTTTAGATTGTGCTTTATATTTACATGTGAGATCCATTCTGCCTTAATTTGCCTGAGTTGTGAATTCATCACTATTTGTTTAAAGGGCTGATGGTGTGTTCATTGAGTTGACTTCACACATTAGTCAGAGCCTTGAGGAAGGTGTGTGGATCTCTTGCTTGGCATTCCTTTCTTTCCTCTTAATCTAGGTGACTACCATGCAGCAATGCTATGAAGTCTTGATTGTTTTCACTAATCCATCTATTCATTCCACATAATTTCAGAAGAATCTTATCTGCTTCTAAAATGCATCTTGCTGAACTGTTAATAAGGACCAGGTACCCCTGCACACAGACCCTCAGAAGACAGATAAGGACCAGGTACATCTGGTACACACAGATCTTCAGAGGATGGATAAGAACCAGATATCCCTGCACATAGACCCTTGGAGGATGAGTGAGGACTGGGTACACCTGCATGCTGTAAACAGAAGTTTCTGTCCTTCCCAGACTGCAGCTGTTCAGTCCCAAAGAAACACACAGAGGCGTATAGTAATTATAAACTATTTGATCTATTAGCTCAGGCTTATTATTAACTAGCTCTTACAACTTAAATTAACCCATAATAATTATCTATGTTTAGTCATGTGGCTTGGAACCTTTATCAGTAAGGCTTTCTCATCTTACTCTGTGTCTGGCTGGCAACTGCTCTTCTGCCTTTACTCTTCCCAGAATTCTCTTAGTCTGGTTGCCCCGCCTATACTTCCTGCCTGGCTACTGATCAATTAGTGTTTTATTAAACCAATATGAGTGACAGTGAACAAGATAGTGTAAAAGAGCATTATCCCACAGCAGCATGCAGATCCTCGGAGGACAGATAAGAATCAGGTACACCTGCACTCAGATGCTCAGAGGACAGATAAAGACTGGGTACACCTACGTGCAGATCCTCGGGGGCTGGATAAGGACCCGGTACACATGCACACAAACCCTCGGAGGACAGACTGGATCACCTCTTCAAGTCAGGAACTACAGCTTTACTCCTCACTTTTCAGCACTTTAATTCTCAGTCCCTAAGTCATGTACATACTTTGTTGAGACTCCACATTAGTATTTTTCCTGTGGTTGTAAATAAAACTTTAATTTTTAACTTTGGTGTTTACATGTTTATCTTTGGAGCATAAAAATAACTAATTTGTTGATATCCTAAACTTTGTTGATATCACACATCAGCACTTGATGGGATAAAGATATCCTGGATACATCCCACCAACAGCGGATAACTCACGAGGGCATTTGGGGTCCAGTCCCAAGTCCTCTTTTCTTATGGCATCTAGGGGCAAATAAAATCTCTCACACCATGCTTCTCCAAACAAGTCTGTTTATGCTTCTGCCTCTATTGTGATTCACCTGTTCTAATTCTAATTCCTCCCAGCTTCTTCTCCTCTAGCCTAAAATCTCTCTCCTTACAGGATTCTTGAAGTGATTAAAAAAAATTATAAGAGTTACCTCTCATTAGTCAAAAGCACCATTTCTAGGGTAAGCAATAAGGACTTGAGCCATTTACCATGGCAACATAAAGGTTTCAGGAGTAAGACTGTGACCAGACCAGGGGCAGAAGGTGCAGTGTCCAGTGACAAACTTGAGGCCTAGGTCTATTCTCAGCAAACTTGGCAAGCAAAGAATTGGCTGATTTTCTCAGGGTGCTTTGTGCAGTAACCTTCGCTGGACATCTGCATACTCTGACCTTGTGCATAGCTGTAGTTTTAAACTTATAATCTATTTGCAAAAAGCCTTTATTTTAGTTTGTATTGCAGTAAAGGTTAAAGTGAGCAAATTGTGTGCCGTTAGTCTGAGCAGAAGGAACAAAGCAGGCTTTTAAGTGTCTACAGTTCTGGTGGGACAGTATATCTAGTTATAATTTGTCCTAGTATATTTTCTATATATCAGTATTATACAGATAAATGAGAAGTCATCTTCCTGACCACTCAGAGATATATGTGTGCCTAGTAAATGGAATATTTTCATGAGATAAACACAAAAGCAGTGGGAAAACACTGGCTCAAAAAACAAAAACAAAAAAATTATGTGTTGGATGAACACATAATTTGATTCATGCCATTTTTACATATAAAATATGTTGTTGCCCATATTTCTTTAAGATTTATTTTATTTCATGTGCCTGTCTGTGCACCATGTGCATGCCGATGCTTCACAGGCAGGAAGAGGACATTGGATCCTGTGTAACTGGAGTCACAATAGCTGTGAGTCACCATGTGGGTGCTGAGAACTGAAGCCAGGTGCTCTGGAAGAGCAGCCAGAGCTCTTAAATGCTGAGCCATCTCTCCAGCCCCAAGGTTTACTTTATTTTTGCTTGTGGACTCAGGAGGCTAGAGGTGTTAGATATCTCTGGAATTGGAATTAAGGCAGCCATGAGCTGCCTGGCACTGAACCTTCTCTCCAGGGTTACCAGCCCTGCTATTGCAAAGACTGCAAAGAAGTGGGTGAGAGTAAGAGTCGTTCCTCACCACAGAAATCTTTAGTTAGAGAGGAAAGACTTATACGGGGTGAAGAGAAACCAGAACAAAACTGGGAAGTTCTTATAGGACCTTTTAAACTTTTTATTACACTTGAATTAATTTTTCTCGTGTAAAATCCTGGTTCGTGAGGCACATTAAGATTACTCCAAAATGACATGGAATGAACTGGTTCTTCCTGTACTTATGGAGTCATTATCTTCATTACGTTTTACCGCACGTAAGGTTTACTTTGGCATAGGTTGTCTGGCTAACTGGAGACCCCATCTTTTCCTTATAACCCATATTCATCCTATACTAAATTCCCATATTTGTGGGACCTTATTGAAGGACTTCTTTCAATCACATTCAAGTGTTGATCAACAAACATACCTCTCTATATCTTCAGCTCATATCTTAGAGACAGTGAGGAATTTCTCTGCTTGACTTATTTTCTTCCCTCCTTTCTTTATAAAATTTTGAGACAGGGTCTCACTCTGTAACCCTGGATAGCCTGGAACTCACTATGCAGACCAGGCTGGACTTGATCTCAGAGATCTGCCTGCCTCCTCCTCTGGAGCAGCTAGAATTAAAGGCACGGGCCACCACTCTTGGCCTAGCTAAATACTTTAATAAACTCAAAGCAAAACAGCAGCCTTTGAAATGTACTGCTTCATATCTAATTATAGTCATATTCACAGGCAATGAAAGTAAAAACTCTACAGCAAAAACTGTAAAAACACACACAGGCAGTGAGAAAGCACTTAATGTCTGACATCAGCAAATGAACTGGTGGCATAGATTATTTGCTAGAGACCTCTAACATAACAAAATCTTTTTGTCATTTTTAATGGACCCCTCCAGGGGATGAGAGGCAATTATGTTTAGTGAGGCAAATGGCGCTTCTCTGCTTTGCCACTCTAGTTCATTAGCACAGGGTTAGAGCGAGCTTATGCGCTTTGAATTACTCTGGGAACATGCATTCAAGTAAGTGGACCTTGACAGCTTTTCCAGACCGGTGTGCGAAAACCCCAAGGTGCCTTTATCCAGAACTGTTCCTTTACAAACCCAAAATTTGGCTGCCTACCTCTGTCCTTGAGAAATGGAAGGCATTAAAATAAGAACACAGGAGGAAAGAATCTTGTTTTAAATAATGGGGTGAGAATATATGAATTCTTTGCCAGAAGAGCTGCCCTTGGGATTTGTTGTTGAGTTTAATTGTGGTGGTGGTGGGGTTTTGTTTGTTTGTTTTGTTTTGTTTTTAAGACAGGGTCTCATGTAGCCTTGAACTAGTTGTGGCTCATCTTGGTGTACGGAGCCTTCTGCCTGCACATCCTAAGAGCTGGGATTAAGGTATAGATGACCACACCTATCTTGTGCCATGCTGGGGATGAAACCCAAGGCTTCATGCTTGCTAGGCAAGTACTTTCCCAAGTGAGTCACGCCCCAGCACCAGCTCTGTCACCGAAAGTAAACTATTTCCCATGGCCTCACCACCATGAGGTAGCCCCAGAGGTAGCCTCAGTATTCACTGGAAGTCCTATTGTGATGTCATCCTGTGTTCTGTGGATATTTTTTTATAAAATATGTAACTAGACCACATTTTGAAATTCATTTGGCAATCTGTTGTAGAGAGAGGGAGCGGGCCCTTTGTTTGTCCCGCCCACCCAGCTAGCTTACACCAAAAATAATCACACAGAAACTGTATTCATTAAATCACTGCTTGGCCCATTAGCTCTAGTTTCTTATTGGCTAATTCTTACATCTTAATTTAACCCATTTCTATCAATCTGTGTATTTCCACGTGACTGTGGCTTACTGGCAAGAATCTAACCAGCGTCTGTCTCAGGCAGAAGATCTATGGCGTCTCTCACTCTGTCCTTCCCAGCATTCAGTTCTGTCTTCTCTGCCTACCTAAGTTCTGCCCTATTCGGCCTAAATCAGTTTCTTTATTCATTAACCAATGAAAGTAAAACATGAACAGAAGAACCTCTTACACCAGCAATCTTTGTATTTCAAAAATCATTTTAAATCCTTATTTCTTGTGATTATTCATATCTTAAAACTCCCCACCACAATCACACTATTTTCTATTTTATTTGATTTTAGTTATCTATCAGTTTGTTTTTTGGTGTTTTAATTGATTGAGATTTAATTTTTCTTCTTTTACTGATTTCAAGTTCTTGAGCTCCATGATAAAAAAAAAACTAAAATCAGCTGGGCAGTGGTGGCACATGTCTTTACTCCCGGCATTTGGAAGGCAGAGGCAGGCATTCTCTGAGTTCAAGGCCAGCCTGGTCTACAGAGTGAGTTCCAGGACAGCTAGGGCTACACAGAGAATCCCTATCTTGAAAAAAAAAAAGTAAAAAGAAAAGAAAAACTAAAAATCAGTATTCTGTCTTCTTTTTTAGTTATTTTAGGTTGATTTAGGTTTTTTTGATTTTGTTTTCTGTTCTCATGAGTATGAATGTCTTACCTGCATTTATGTGCATGTACTATTTCTGACCTTGGAGGTCAGAAGAGGGCGTCAGATCCCTGGAACTAAAGTTAGGTTGGTTGTGAGCTGCCATGTAGCTCCTGGGAACTGAACCTGGTCCTCTGAGGGGCACTGTGCTCCTCACTGCTTAGCCTCTTTCCAGTCCCTCACTAGAGCCTCTTAACAATGTAAGCCTCTGTTGCAGTGTAAGTATGAACAACCCCATATGCTCACTGTTTGCACATCTGGTCACCAACTGCCAATCTGTGGAAGGCTGTAAAAACTGGAGGAATTAGAGCCTTGTTAGAGGACGTCGGTCACTGTTGATAGGTCTTAAACCTTTACAGCTAAAACTACAATTTTTAACATGTGAATAAGTTTTTATTATATTGTTATAATCTATTTCATTGTTGGCTATTAAAATCTTACTGTGCTCAATGTATTAATTAAATTCATCATAGCTATCTACTCATGAGGGAAAAGAGGAGAAGGCAGAATCTGGAACTAAACCTTTGTGGCTTCAGGCATCCATTGTGTGACTGAGAATATTTTCCTTGACAACAAAACAGGACTACTGTCCAGGGAGACATCAATGGACACAGAGGGAGGATTTACTCAGCATAGAATTCCTCTTAGAGATAATGGTTCGGGCAATGGTTATAATCCTGAAAATGTAGTCAACTGCCACTACATTTAACAAGGTTTTGCATACAGTGGTAAAGTTTGTATGGCATATATTTTATCACACACACACACACACACACACACACACACACACACACACACATACAATTATTAAGTTAAAAGCAAATCTGATTAAGGTCCTAGAAGGAAAACAAGAAACAGAGTAATGTCTTCATTAACACTCCTGGGGATGGAATCATTTCACAGTTGAGAAACTCAGTAGAACTCCTTCAACCAATCTGGTTTCTTTAACAATAAAAATCCATGTGAGAAAAAGGAAGTTAAGTAGAAAATCGTAATTTTTAAAAAAGGACTATTTTATTGTATGTGTATGAGTGTTTGCCTGCATGTATGTATGTGTGTTAATAGAGGTTTCTGTCCTATCTAGTTCTGCAGTTGTTCAGTCCCAAAGAAACACACAGAGGCCTACATTAATTATAAACTGGTTGGCCTATTAGCTCAGGCTTCTTACTAGCTAATGCTTATATGATACATCAACCCATTATTTTTGTCTGTGTTAGCCACGAGGTTTGGTGCCTTTTATCAGCGAGGCATTTTCATCTTGCATCCTCTGTGTCTGGGTGACGACAGCAGACTGAGCCTTTCATCTTCCCAGAATTCTTCTGTTCTGATTGTCCCACCTATACTTCCTGCCTGGCTACTGGCCAATCAGCATTTTATTAAAGCAATACAAGTGACAAATCTTTACACGGTATAAGACCACTGTCCCACAGCATATGTATGCCATGTATGATGTGCCCCAGGAAGCCAAAAGAGTTTCAGATGCTCAGGGAATAGAGTTATAGACATGTGTGAGTCACCCTGTGGTGCTGGGCACTGAATCAAGATTCTCAGCAAGAGCAGCAAGTGTTCTTAACCACTGAGCCATCTCTCCACCCCCGAGCTAAAACTGTAAAACTCTTAGAAGATAAAGTTTATGATGCCAACTTTCACCATAATGACATAGAAAACACAGGCAACAGAAATAAAGACAAACTGAACTATAAAAGTCTAAATTTTCTAGTCATCCAAAAACACAATCAGCAAAGTAAAAAATGAAACAAAACAAAAAACTCAGTCCATATAACAGGAGAAAATAGTTTAAGTAAGTTATGTGATAAAGTAGTAAAACTTACAATTCAGAAATAATAAGAATTGGGGCTGGAGAGATGGTTCAGTGGTTAAGAGCATTGCCTGCTCTTCCAAAGGTCCTGAGTTCAATTCCCAGCAACCACATGGTGGCTCACAACCATCTGTAATGAGGCCTGGTGCCCTCTTTAGGCATGCATGTAGACAGAATATTGTATAAATAAATAAATAATTTTTTTAAAAAAAAGAAATGATAAGAATTGAAGCAGACTTGAGTAGGGATGTCTCTAACAAAAATATAAAAGTGGTCAGGAGATACTGAAAAGATGCTCAACATTAACGATCTGGGAAGTCATAAGTGCAGGGTAACACCTGATTCACTAAGGTGATCCACTACCGGAAAGACATTAACTGGCTCTTACCTCTACCTCAGTCTAAAATGGCAATCATGCCTGCAGGGATCTCAGGATGAGACTGAGACTGAGTGATGTCTCCTCCTGTCTTATATTCTTCTCTAGTGCTGGGATTAAAGACATGCACCACCTGGTTTCTATGACAAACTAGTGTGGCTACTGTGATTAAAGGCATGTGTGACCACTGCCAGGTCTGTAAGGCTGACCAGTGGGGGCTGTTTTACTCTTTAACCTTCAGGCAAGCTTTATTTATTAAAATACAAATGAAATATCACTACAATCATTAACAACCAAAAAGTGGAAGCCACTCAAACATCCACATGAGTGAATAAAATAAACAAAATGTAGCATGCCTAAAGGCATCTGTAGTGGTTTGAATGAGCATGTTCTCCCATCCCACATGGGCTCA